ATTCTCCGTCCGGACTTCCTGCAACAACACCACGCCATTATCTTGATTCTGATTGGCTAGAAGACATTATCAAAGATGTTCTATTGAGAAGACGTGACAAAAGTTTTCAAAACCGTTTCTGGTCTTCGGTATTTCCAGACAAGTGGCTACTGAAATCAATCTTACTAACTGCTGTCTGTGCAATTTACTCCGCGCGAGTTGGCAGACTTTATTTTTGCTTACTTTAACATCATTTTTCATGGTGGGGCTAAGCCATTTCTTGGTATGGGTGTAGCCTACCACAGCCATACACTGGCGCTGCCACTGGTGGCATGTATGGGGCGGGCCATTCTGCACATGCGTTAAATGCGTTAAATATTTTAACGCAATTAATTAAAAAAATTAATTACCGCCGTTAACGCGATAATTTTGACAGCATTAAATAAAACCAATGATCAAATGATTTAACAGTGATATCTGCAGTACTCATCAACTAAAAAACATCAGTTTATCCTTGTTAATTATACGACATGTATTGGTTTAAATTGTGTACAATGCTTTTGTGTTTTTCCCATAGGTTTTTCTCTTTCGATTCTGAGAGACACCTTTTTTTCAGAGGTTTTGATAGGCTAAAACATCGATTGTTTTAGCCGCAATGCATGTCGGGATATGGTGTTTTTGCGATATGAAATCGGAAAAACATTTTTTTTAAATAAAATAATACTTTATTCCGAGTGTTCTTGCTTTTTTTTTTTGGAAGTCATCACATAACGGCATTGTAATACACGGTTCGGCTGCATTACATATTACATATCTGCCGTAGATATGTATTTATAGAGCCCTGATCAGAAGACCTTTTGACAAACTGTAAGAAATGCCGCCAAAACTGAATACGTGACGTGGAACATAAATATATCAGCAATTAAACAACATCTTCCATGTCTTTTTACACAATTTGCAGTATCAACACTAATTCGGCTGACTTTTATATTTGATCCAATTGGTAGATAGGTTATATTTACACCATAATAACGGTGCACAGCTGATAGAAAGGGATTTTTTTGTAGTTTTTAAAGATATTATTTACTGAACTACCTTTCCAACTCCTCATGCAGTTGACTGTTACAGGTCTATACAGGTTCATGGTACAATGCATAAGCTTCAAATCGAGAGACTGAAACTGTATTTTCCTTTACCGTTCTGTTTTAATTTCACAATAAAGTTAATAGTCATATTATGTTTGATATTATTATGTTTTATTAACTACACCACTGTTTTTTTAACCCGCACCGCCTAGTGGTTAAAGCACGTTATTGCATTTTGTTGTTGAATACGTTTTATTTGATGAAAACATTTAAATATTAAGAGTAGCCTGCATAAAAAATAGGGGGAAAGTAGAAGGCATGATAGAAATATAGAATAGAAAATATCAAGAAGATACTGTAGTGATCTCTACAATAAAACAGTTTAGTGCAGGACGTCCAAAGATATTAACAGGAGGATGTGCAAAACAGACAAACTAATGAGGCTTTATTTAAACATTAAAGAATACTTTAAGTTAAGGTCTTCTTTTGAATAAGAAAAAAACGTTGGGGTTATCCACAGATAAATATGAAGTCTGACTAAGTACTTAACGTCCAATATATTGCATAGTTTATTTTGGCACTTGACAATCACCTTCCCTGAATTTGAGTCAGGTGTAACTAAAGTCTGCTTTAAGGGTTGTTTATATTTCACATCATTAATCAGAATCTGCAAAGTAACTAAAATAAATGTAGTGGAGTAAAAATACCAGGTTAACCTCTGAATTGTAGTGGAGTAGAACAAAGTAGTATGCTGCTGTAACAAAAACATTTCCCAACTTGGGATCAATAAAGTATATCTTATCTTATCTTATCTTATCTTAAGATGATCGATCGCTACTGCCATATTTGCGAAAACGTCTTATAAAGAGACGTGCCATAGAACATGTTGCGAAACACACAATAGCCAGCATGTGTAGTTCTGGGGCTGGGCTGGACCCGTCCAATTCCAGTTTTGGAAAGTCTGCCGGGGTTCAATATTGTGTAATTAACAACGATAAACTGATGTGGATGAGTAATGCAAATATCACTGTGTAATCATTTGACAGTTAGGGGAATATATCCGGTTTTATTATGAAAACTTCGAGACCGGAAAAACTGTTTTCACCCACCACGCTAACTTTACATGGAAGCTGCATACACGTTATCCTGGCGAGACCTCACATTATCTTCGTAATATCTATCAAACTATAGATCCTACACCTCGACTGGACGTGGATTCTAAGAGTTAATATACACTTCTCGCCAGAAATCGAATCAAAAAGCATTTTAATGGCCAAACTATTCCACAATTTAGGATTTTCCAGAGAGGGTTATTTGTGAATAAACGACGTTTGCAATGAACGGGCCGGCGGGAGCATGTTGTTTCTTACACGACCACTAGAGCACCTCTAGTGGTCGTGTAAGAAACAACATACACTTTAAAACGTGTCTCTGGGTCGTAATAAGGGCATGAACAATCGGCATATATGGTCGTTTTTTGTATGAGGACAGGCTGAAATATGAATAAAAACATGATTGTTTTTGGAACCCTCACTGTAGAGCAATATTACCTTATAATCTTCAAATATAATTCAACAATCTCTAAAATCTCATATCAAATAGCCCAGGCAGATAATACGTTTCTATTTATATTGCAATCACAAATAATTCAATTAATTTCAATCTCTGAAAGACTTCTACAAAATCCAATAACTCATTTGTGGCTGCAATCAACATAACAAAAAGAGTGCAGATCACCTAGTTTAAGCATAACTTGATATGATAGTTTTTGGAACAATGCAGGGTAAGGGCTGAATTCTTGTGCTGTTCTCTGGTCAGGGTGAGAGAATGACTGAGCAATATTTTCTGATCAGGGCCCAGAGTTGGCAGGACTGTAGCTGGTCCAGTGGGCAATGTTTCGCTGTCCAGATGGCTGTGTCAGGGTAATTCCCATCAGAAGGGCTGGCCACTAATCCTCCAGAGAATCTGTACTGGCTTGATCTCATGCCTGCATGGGAACCCGCACGGCCAGCCTATACTGAAGAACGCTGATAGCCAAGCCTGTTTAGCTTATCGACACTAGCACAATATGTTGGTTAAAGTAAAGACACTCGGCGTTAAGAATAAGGCAACTGTTGAGAGGTTACTGTAGGGAAAAGCAGGAGGCGGAGAAGGGAGAGATCTTAGATCAGGTCAGGCTGATTAGGTGAAGAGCCAAGACTTATTCTCAGAGTGGGAACTATTTCTGCAGTATGGGATCTTTGACTATCAGGTACACCTTTCTGATTTCATGGCTTGTTTTGTAAGATATTAAATATTAGGAAAAACATGCAGAAGCTCTGTGGACCTCATATTTCTGTCAGTACTGTCTTTGTTGTGACTAAATGTTATAGCTTGTGAATAGAAGAGAAGAATAGTAGAATAAAAACAGTTGGAAATGGTATACCCATATACTCATTGATGAAAGTTAAGTTCATGTGGTTTTGAGTCACAAAAAACATACAGGTTGGAAAATATATAAGCCATTTATTGATCAGAATTTTTAGCATTTATTCAGTTCTCTTTATCCTGCTTTGGAGATGTCACATTTATCAGCATTAATCATTTGATATTATTCTCTAGGCACCATGTGTTGATCTTATCATGATCCAAAGTGAGACTGATAAAAGGTCAAGCTGTTCTCCGCGTGTCCTCCTCAGCAGCTTGCAATTCAATTTAAGGACTGGTGAGGCCAAAGGGTCGAAGACTTCAGAAACAGACGGAGGAGACCTTAATTCACTCAGCCGTGCATTATTTCTGTGATTAAATGTTCTAGCGTGGGTGTGTTTCCTTTAACTCCCCCGACAACAGCCAGTAAAATGTATTTCATCAATATAATGTTATTAGATAAGTCTATAGTTTGATCTCTCATTACTTAAGTTTGGTTATAAAATAGATTTAGAGAAAGCAACCTTAACATATGCACTTAAAATAAACGTGTTGATAGACCAATGGTTGAAAGAAATATCTGATTGTCTGTTCTGCTTGTCTTCATTCTTCTATGTTTGGGTGTCTCTACTGGCCTCTCTGCTGGACACTACTAATGGTGAGTCCACTGAAATAAGCCTTTTGTGTGAATAATGTGATTCTTTCCTTTTCTTTCATGATTTTATTTTCACTCACTCAACGTTCTCTTGTAGTTGATTGATTGTGTTATTGTATACATTGATGTTGTTCTTATGTGGTTGTTTACTCCTTCTCTTTTGTGCATGTCAAATCTCCACGCTCCCTTACGCTATAAGCTTATTACTTGAGCTTCCCTAATCTGGGTGTGGGTATATACAGTATGCAGTGTGTGTGTGTGTGCGCCATTTAAGTGCCTTAAAGGTGGGGTAGGTAATTTTGGAGAAACCGGCTCGACTGCGCTAGAATTTGAGAATACACAGCCGGAAGAAATGTGCCACTTCCTTACAGAGCCCCTCCTCCAACACACACGAACGCGCACATGACCAATGAGGGCACGAGATAAGTTTGTGCACAGATGGAAGGCTGACAGGCAGGTAGGCCATCCAGTTATTTTAGCCGGGCCGGCTCAGATGATTGGTCGTGCTATCGGGATGTTAAGAGCATTCCATGGAATATAACAAAAAGTGTATCTCGAGCCGGTTTCTCAAACTTACCTACCCCACCTTTAAGTTATACAATGACTAATGTGTCCGTTGTGTGTAAGTAAACCCTCAACTTGTTATTTTAAATAATACAAATATGACCAGCTCTTGAGATCACACATTTTCTATTCTAATTTTGGGCCTTAAAATCTAAGAAAAAAACAAAACATTCAACCTCACTATAATGCAGTGCTGCTATTCGTCCTCTAGAGGGGGCTGTCTCGCCACGCTAGTACTGACACATCTGCATCAAACCTCCCTCCAAATCAAATGGACAGCGCTGGCGACCAATCACATCTTAGATTCTAATACAGTGGCCCCTCTGAGCCAATGAGAGACCGCTAAAAGATATTTTTCACTGTAGGGGGCGGGTCTTGGGGATGATGGACACGTCTGCTTTGAGCCCTAGCCAGATTTTCGGTGGGGACTGTAGTGGAGATTTTTGCAGGCTGAGATAGTGGGACGTACGTTATTTTTTGGAGGAGAACAGAGTGAGAGGCCACGTTTGGAAAAGTTCTCAACACGCATCGTTGAAAAATACAACAGGTAACGTTCAATTTGACCACCTTTTTTTTAATCACGTGATATATACATCAGCAACCGCGGCTGCTTTAATGCTTGTCGGGTATTTAAAGGGTTTACATGTCTATTTAGTTGCATTTAATAGGACTAGCTGCTCAACCTGTACCCACAAACACATTACCAAAAGCAGTTTTTTGAAAATGGTCAAGCAAACGGCATGCTTGCCAATCAAATCCGTTATCTGGAGTCGCAGTCATACCTCCGATATAATGTTCTTCATGGCGCCTATCTTCCTCCACATTACCCCATCACCTAAACTACTTTCATGTGCCGCGCCGTATAACGCTCAGATGGTTTTTATGTGGGTAGCATTAAAGATTGCGTGGAAACGCTTAGTACAAAACCAGCGTAAATGGCATGTTTAAAAGTCATTTAGAAAATGAATAGACCTCGTTACGTTGCTAGTGGTGCCTGTATTTCCTGGTGTAGGTGAATCCCTCCGCTATGTTACGTTACCGTTGGCGGTAATGATGCTAAACCTTTGAAGACTATTCAAACATCCGTCCCTTCCGTTTTTCTGGGATAAAGACACACATGTGTTGAGAATGACGACATTATTTTATTTAAAGCCGTTTTATCGACTGGTCGTCGTGTTCCCTTGTGTTTAAACGGTGTTTCCGCCAGTAGTAAAGTTAGTATCACGGGAACACGTTGTTTTATGGTTTAACTGTTTTCCAAGGAATCATGCTTTCATTCTGGAAAGTGGTTCTCACAGATGTCTGGGAAATGCAGTCTGGTTTGTTTTCCTGATTTAAAATATATGTTTTAGTCCCAGGTGGGGCTGTGGCAACCAAGGAATTCTTGAATTTCAAAAAAGAACATTAATCTCAATGATGGTTGTGTAACTATTCTTGTTATATTATTAATATCCATTCTCAATGAGTCTTTTATGTATTTAAAAGTTAAGGCCATGACAACCCATACCAACTTATCAGAGCCAAAACTGAGGTGGTTGTTACTTTTTGTTTGACAAAAATCCATAAAAGATAATAATCAATTTATTCACATATAAACACTTTTTTGTTTCATTTTTAAGTGAACATTTTCCACCACCATTGACCATTTAAACTGTTGTCCAAACTCATGTGAAGAAAGAGATGTAAAGCATACCATGCTTGGTACATTCCTTTTGAAAATTATTGATTGTATTGGCTTAAAATGGATTTTTGAACCTTCTAAAGTTTTAGTATTGTTGGATCTGCCTTACCACATTTTCTCCAGAATGTTCATCTCATGCTTTTAATACTATTTGAACTTTGTGTGCATTCAGAATTTAACATGTGCGTGTATTTCCCAGGCAGAGCCTTTAGAAGTCATACTTTGTCTGACAGATGGCAAAGGTTCAAATAGTTCACAGGCAGATATGCAAACTGACAAACATACTGGACTGAGCTGAGATTGTGCTGCTGACGTGAACATTGGCTAACACATCTGTTACATCCTAAAATTCAATTTTGCTGAACATAATCAATGTCTGTGTTGTGCCACAGATTGAATCCAAATGTACTACTAAAGCCATTTGTCTTCTTATTATGCATACATACAACTTGATGAACTAGCTGGGTGCTATTTGCAATTCAGAGTTGAATGTGTCTAGTGCCACCCACTTTTATTTTTTTTTCTTCTGGGAAAGGAAGGTAGGTTAGATGGAAATGGAGGACTTCAGGGCAGGGACAATGTCATGGACATGTGGTGCATGTGGGACTTCAGAATCAGATATGGTCATGGTTTATTTTATGTCATTGTAACCAATGCATGGGAAATAATTAGCGCAAAACAAACACCCGGTCCCATTTGTCATCAATTGACAAAGTACATAACCTCTGTTTACCTTTGCATTATCACATATTCTGATGTGATGGACATACACTACACAACAGGACATTTTCCCTACATATGTTTACGCATGTGTGTTTTTTTTAATATATGACAAGACTATAATCTGTATGCAAAAAACCCCATACCATCTAAAGCTCTCTAAGAGCTGGGGGGAAGTGTGTAGGATTGAACAAGTTACATAACAGTCATCATCCACTAAGCTTACCAGTGACTGTACATTGACGACAAAATGAGTATACCCACCCGTTTACTTTTAATGGACCAATCACTTGGTTTGGTAAACTATAAGGGAAATCCAGCAGTGAACGCTGTTGTGTTTTTCCTGCCAGGCCCTCTCTCTGTGTAGTTTATCTATAGTGTAATCATCAGTACCATCATGTTCATCCTCAGACTCTCAGGATGAGTAGAACAGTGGCAGCTCTGTCAAAGCCACTAATGAGAAGCCCTAATTGGGTGTTCTGGTTAGAGTATCCGCTCATTAAAGCTGGATGGAACTAACTCTGTGTTAGCCAGAATGAATGCATGAATCTGTTTAAAAAAACAAAAACCTTAATATGACCATTGTTCATTTCCAGTCATATTTGGATCTGAGTTATTTCCTGTGATATGGTTCTTTCCAATTACACAAAACTGGGGTGCTCTAGCAATGGAAATTAAAGTCTTTATAATTGGTCAAAACCCTGTGGCAATGTGGCAGTGGTACCAGGTGATACTTTGGACCTTAAACAAGTGTATTCATAGCTAAGAATAGTCTTCCCTAGGTGTTGTGCTTCAACTGTGATGAAAAAACACAATGTGTCACTTCCCCTTAAGGGGAAAGTAAAAGTAAATCATGCTTCTTTTATTTTCCTTTTTCATATTTTGTGCAGGTGCAGTACTCCATTTGTACCTTTCTGTCTATTTCACCTTTTGGGAGTTTAAAGGGCAGGTTGGTGATTCACAAGGCAACACACAAATGAAAGTAGAGGAGTGCCACAAGCAGAAAGGACGGAACACACATACAAGCATGGAGGAAGCGAGTGAGAGTCGGACACAAGGGGAGAAAAAGAGAGGCTGAGTGAGAGCGACGGAGAGAGTGAGAGATATTGCTTAACCATTCGGAAAGGCTATGGGAACATCCCTGAGTGTGTGTTTGTGTGTGACCCTGTCGGTTCAACAGGAGCATAACACGTCACATCAACTCAGGCACACACAGATAGCCCTACGGTCCCACATTGGGCGAAGAGCACTGTAAAGAAACATACAAACAAAAAAACATCTCTCAAATGTTTCTTTCTGAGTAAGATTTCCAGTTGTGTAGATTAGCAGAATGTATCCCCATGTTCTCCTCTATTAAGGCGGTTTTAATTCTATAATCACAATACAACACGCTCCTCTCCTCCATGATTGTAGCCACATTGCATCAGTCACAACAATTACTAAAGGTGGACATATTCTACAGTGTAGCAGTGGGCCGTGACCGGCGGGTGTAAGCCTCTAGCTTTCAGGGTTCTGCGAGTCCAGCGGGCGCCACAGGACTCGCATTCACGCAGAGAAGATCAGAGGGGCGCGCATGAATGGAAACTGTAATGCAATGTTCAGCTTATTACCGCTAGAGAGACAGTGGGGAGAAGGAGAGGGGGGGAGAGGGTAAGGTGGGGTGAGTGAAAGGAGGTTAGAGATGAAGAGGACGTGGGTGATGGAGGGGAGGGAGGTAAGAGGGTCAGCTAAATGTCAAAACAAGAAGTAGTGAACACTGTATTCAAAGATCCTTTAAGTGAGGAATTAGAATTGAGTTGAAGCAACAAGCGAAAGTCTTTTTTGGAAGATTAAAAGTTATATTGTTGTTGTTTAAAGGGTCTATTAGAGAAGAATAGAAACCCCTTGAGTTGAAAGGTAACATTTTACACAAGAGAGGGATAAAGAGAGCGCACACTGCTTTCTCCCAGCAAGTGCCCAGCTCTGAATGAAGCTCTGAATAAAAAAACAAGGGAGACAGCGTGGGCCTGTGGCTTTGGCAGGGGGCCAGAGGTGGTTAAAAACAGATTAATCAGCATAGGGTCACATTCTCACACAGAGAGGCTGAACAGAGCAGGACGAGCCTTCATCTTTGAAATGCCACTTCTTTGGGAGGAACAAGAGGCAATGTTTGCTAATGTATTATATTTTATAATACTCATGTCTGATCCCACTCAGTCTTTGTACTGTGAAGTAGTGTTGCAAGTCAAATCTCTAGCTTTGATAAAGAAAACATTGAAGCCTTCTTTGATACCACAGGAAAAACTTGACGCAACAATGTGGGCAAACATTTTTTTGGGGGGCGGAAAATGAGTATTGAAACCAGAACCAATAGGTTTTGAAAAATATGTACGTTTGCAAATATTTGCAAGTTCAGAAGATCAAGATATTCCTCTCAATGTGATAAACAAAACTACTTCTCCTAGCAACATCAACCTTCCCTAGAAATCCAAATCTATACAACAATGGAAAAGAGCACCAAAAATGGGCCTACATAATTATGTCAAAAATAAAGGAATACACATTGTATACTCCAAAAAAACATCTTAAAAGCCAACACCAAAGGGTCCAACTTACTGTTTTCATTATTGATGAATCATGTAGTCTAGATAAATGATAGAAAATAGAGATAATTCTCCATTATAAAGTCACTGTGATGGATTCATTCATTTAGCGTTTCATTCATTTGAACCATTAAGTTACCGTATTCATTATGTGTCAACCATTCATTGGAGTGTCACAATAACAGGGGAAGGCTTGAGAGGAGAAGAAGTGAGGAGCACAGAGGAGGGGGGATACCAGGGCAAAGAGGAAGGGATGAGGGGAGGAAACGGAAGTGGAGAGGAGTGTCTGGGGATTACGAGGGTGAGAGGGAGTGCAGAGCAACTAACTTCTTCTCATTAGTAGCCTTTGAGAGACTCAGACGTTTGGAAAAATACCTTGGAAAGGGTGTAAAGTACCCTGTGAACTTTGTGTTTGTATGTTGAGGGGGGGTGGCAGATTTTAGGGTCAATAGACGGTGTTTCCCACAGCTCGAAACTGAGAATAACTATCAAGTTACCCCAGTTGGAAAACAAGGAGAGGGGGTGGGACATGTCTGGGGAAACCTCCAAAACATATGTGAATTT